TTTTTTTTTTGTTGTTTTGTTTACTTTTTTCTAGCCATCTATGAGTTCTGGCTTCTCAAGAAAAAAAAAAAAAAAAGGTTTTTGTCACTACTCTTACACATTTTTTCTCCCCGTTTATCTATTGCATCATCATCATCTCAGGGTAAAATCTATTTATTACTTGACTATATATTCTTATTTGGGAAAACTGTACTGGCTTTTGTAATATTTTTTCAGGCTGAATGTTTAATATTTCAAGAGAAAGTTATTTGGGATGTTTATACATATACATATATACATAGATATTTTTACTGTGAAAAGACCTATGAACTCTTGTTGTATAGGAAGTGTTTGTTTTTTTTCTGTTTTTCATGTTTTCTTTTTTCCTGCTTTGCTTTTTAAAGTGTTTTTGTTTTTTCTGATTTCCATTTTGTTCAGTTCTCGTCGTGCTTTAATGGTTTTATCAGCTTGCTTAAGTATTACATTTTCCAGTTTTATTGTTTGCAAAATGGACAAAAGAAGAAAACAAGGAGGCTTATGGATGTTGGTTTTTTCTTCCCACATTTTCTTGCAAGGAAGGAACAGCAAGAAAGGAAAGTAGAAGAGGAAGAGACGAAGAGTATTGTTAGTTTGCCGAGGTTTCGGTCGTTAGTTTTTTGGCGCTCGTGCAATGTTTAAATTACTCGCTTTATTTTCTAATTTTAGAGGTAGGGCTTAGGTTTGTATCGTTTTGTTTTTATTTGGAGGATGGAAATTTTTTGTGTTAGGGCATTTCTTTTTAGTAGATTTAAGTTTGGTTTTTTCCTTTGTTTATGAACGGTGTGTATAGTTTTTCAGTAGTACATTTTTACACATTAATTTTCTTTCCGCTTTGTTTTTTATCTTACTGAAGATTTATACTTTGTTCAGGTATAAATTACCACTTTTTTTTAGTTTACTTTAATTGCGTGTATGTGTATTTGTGGTGTATCCAAACTGAAGTAGATTAAAATGAATTTTTTTCTGCTCACTTTGTGGTAGAGACAAAAATTTTATACAAATCTTAGAGGAATATGCACATTGTCCTAGTTCGCTTAAGCAGTTGTAACTTTTGCTTTTATGCTCGTTTAGTGGGTAATGACGGTTTGGTTGTTGTTTAGTGTTTGTGTGCCGTTACTCAAGTAGCTCTAACTGATGTATTAATAGTAGCAGCTTAATTAAAAGAGAAGTGGGTATTGTGCTGGACATATGATTCATTTTGTCCAGAAAGTTGCTTCAGTTTGGTGGTTCAATCCTTGAAGGGATTAGCTCCTTGATCTTCATTTATGTTTCCGTATTGGAATTTTATTTTTCCAGTGAAGGTTTTTGTAGTTGTTTGATTTTTTTTCTGATTTTTCTTCGGCAGGGACTGGGACGGTGGGTGGCATTTCTTTCTAGTGTTGCTGTATATTGTTTAATGGATAACATTTGTTTGAATTTATTCCCGTAGCGCGGGACTTTCTCCCACCGTCCAGTTGTTGTTACTGTTTTTCTTGACGTTAATCTTTGCTCATCACTACAGTAAATAATGTTAATACATGGTTGTAGTGCGCTGTTACGAGAGTTATGATGAACTGAATTTTTTTTTTTTTAGATGAAGTAAGAATAGCGAAACTTTTGCTACTGTGTTCTGAAGTTGTTTTGAGTGAGGTTAAATTGTATGAGACAGAATGAAGCGTTGTACTTTAAAATTACTCCTTTGTTCGTTTATGCGATATGTCCTTTCGTCTTTTTTTATCCCTTCTTTCAAACGTATTAGTTGATGGCGACATTCATCAGGCATCGGAATTTTCGTTGATGATGCAAGTGTGAAGTTGCCCTAACAGATCAGTAAGTACAGATTTTAGGTGTTATGCAGACAGAATAATGAGTTTCTATGCGACTGCTATGCTGTAGTGCACATTTAATTGATTAGATTGGTGAGGTGTGATCGTAAATGGATTGTTGCAGCTTCCAGGACTGAGACAGTTACAGTTGGTTGGCTGTTAGCACGGAGACCTGCTCTTATAAAAGTCGGCTCTGTTATGATTAGTGGGGGACGAGGGGGGAGGGGAAAAAAACTTTGGGTTTCTTGAAAGAAGTTAAATAATGGTGGTTTGTTTGGATTGGACGTGGTCTCGTTTATTAAGAGATAATAAAAATGCACTTTGTCAAGCAAAGCAGTGGTGAGTGTGTCGGAACACTTAAGTTTGATAGTTTGCAATTGCTTACAGAGAGCATTTTTAACGAGGTTTGTTTCGCAGGAATGCTGAAATGAATCGTTTTTAAGTGGATGTGCAAACCTGGTTAGCTGTTAAACTACGGAGAACAAATGCTTAAAGTGGTCTTCGTTCTCACAGAGATTACTCGTGCCAGATTTAGATTTTTTCATGTACCGTTTAAATGACGTCTGCTTTACTGAACTGTTTAAATTTACATCGTAAAGTTTTTATCATTATATAAAAGTGGCTGTGATGCTTAGGGAGTTTGGCGGACACAGTGGAAGTGCTGCTTATTGAAAAGGAACACCTCACTTGATTCCCGTGAGGCTATGCTGGTGACGGGAGTCTTCCCGGTGTCGTGTAGGCCTAGTTCAAGTCCAATACTGTTGTATTTCACCGGTTCATGCTTCGCGAGTGGACAACGTTTTATAATTTCCATAAAGCGTTACTTCAGGTGCTATGGGTTTTTTTCATTTTGCATATGTTTCCAGAGAAGGTAGAAATTACCCAGTTTTTTGACTAGTGCTGTAGATCAGGAGTGAACGCTGAAGATCACTGGTTTGACAGGACCTCGTGGTAATATCTAGCAGATTGTGATGTTGCGGGATATAAGCTTCGTTACTGCTTTTAATGAATATCTTCGGGGCAGAAGAGTCTGTGTAACACTTCGGCTGGTCAGATGCGGGCTAGAAAAGAATTGGTGGCCAGTCTGGCTGATCCTTGGAACAAAAAAAATCTGATTCGGCGGAATATAGTGCAGGCTACCGTCTTTGTGAATTGAACGTAAAAATGTGGGAAATTATACAGGATGCTTTTGTGAAGCTGTTTGGGAAGTTTTTTGCTAATATCACGAGTTATTGTGACTGAAAATGTTTTGTGCGTAGGTAACATGAGTGACTTAAGTGACGAAGCTAAGGCTTTGAACCTACTGACTGGCGATAATTTTTTCGGAAAAAAGATGAGACGAATATCAGGCAAAATAGGATGCCGTGAAGTGGAGGAATTGTTGGGGTTCCTTGTAACAAAACAGCCCCCCTCAAGTCTTCTATCGTACTGTAGCTAACTTAAAGTTTCACGCAGCGTTCCAAAGTAAAACCATCCGTATATAATGAAGTGGAGCTGGTGATGAAGTGTTTTTAATATTACTCAAACATTAGTATTCATTATTACTGTAATTTAAAATATGGCAGGATTACCGATGTCGAGTTTTAAGCTTATACTTGAGTCAGAGAAGCAATAATATTATATTAAAGGAATAGGTAGATACAAGGATACAAAATGCAAAAGTACAGATAAAAAATTGTAAATAATAATTGAAAAAGGCCCTCTGCCATCAGCACACGAGACAACTCCTGGCCATCAAATCTTCCGCTTTATTCAGTCTCAACCTAACACTAGTTTTATACTTAGCTGAGTCATAATTGGAAACAAGTCCAAGCAGAGCTAGAAATAAGTGATTAAGGAAGAGAAACGTGAATTTTTATCTTTTACTAGTATTTTAAATAACAAGAAGGGAAGCAGTGGGAGATATGCATATTCTATCTGAAATTTCCAGTGAATCTTAACCGAAATTGTTTGACAGTGGCTCTCCTTGTTGCCAGTAATCCAGTAACAAATTGGTGTTTGCCAAAAATAAAGGTTTATCTCTCATCAGATGAATGAAACACTCACTAAGCAACGAACCGAAAATAACACATTTTCAGTTCTTTTCATCTTTGTGAAATTTTAAGCTAGCTACAGTACGACAGAAGAGGTCGAGACGCTTTGCATTCTCATTCTGCCGCAAAACACAATTGAACAAACTGAATTGGCTTCGCCCGAGGGGGACTGTTTTGGTACAAGGAGCTCCAGCAATTTCTCCTTGTGACGGCATCGTATTTTGCCTGGTATTCGTCTCATCTTTTTTCCAAAAAAATTATCGGCAGTCAGTAGGTTCACAGCCTTAGCTTTGTCACTTAAGTCACTCATATTACCTAAATCTAAACACTCATTCCCGCCATCAAAGCGGAAGAACCGTTAGTAGCATTCATTGTTAATCCTTGAAAAGTCAGAATGCGGAAAACCACTCTGAGCCAGTGATTTTAAAAGCTAATGATCCCCTCCAAATTGTGCTACAAAGTAGAGTAACAAAAGTTTTCTTTGAGTTTAAATAACCAGCGGAAACTATACAGAGCAACTAACTCGGAGTCAGACTTTGTGCGCCATAAACAGTGAACTAGTGGACATTTCTCAGTAACGCCATGACCCAATTTGCAACTCGGATTCCACAGTAATATTTGCGTTTTCCAGAAATCCTCGTTAGCATCATAATCTATTTTATTACCGTTTATACCGATGAGATATCTTGTGAGTCGACAGTCGCTTCGATAACAATCAAAATTCATTCCATTCTTTTATAACTTCTCCAAACCACAGGAAGCTTTATGCGTTTGTCTTACGTACTGCAGAATTATTAAATCTGAAGCTGTTTCTTACGGTCCATCAAAACTTCCGTTTCCGAAATTTGATCGCCCCTAGCAGACTGTATCTATTATCTCTAGTATCTCTATTCATTTGCGATATCTCATTAGCTACTATTGCCAGTTGTTTTCGAGGAATATTTGAAAAAGTTGTACTACGCTCTCTCACTTGCCCATTAACATATTGAAGCAACTTCATCATACTTTCTGAATCCTTCTTTTGAAAATGTTCATCACAATCTTCAAAGTAAGTAGAGCTGCGCTCGTACACTGCATCAACTTTCTTGGTAGCTCAGCAAATTCTCCGATTTTTTGAGATAACTTCCTTTCTACTAATTTCCATAGTTCACTGTTCGAGTTCTCAGGTGGCAATGTTAGAAAAGACACACAAACTGATCAAGCTACAGGTAAATCTGGTTAATATTTTCTCAAATTCCGATCCAATTTTTTGTACTTCAATCACAGTGCAAATAAAGCTATACTTTATAAGTTGTATTGCTTACCTTTACTTTTATCAATTTGTCTTGAACGTCGATCCTGATTTGATTTCCAATTAGCCGAAGCAACTTACAACAGAATCACCGATGTTGAATTTTGAGCTCATAAGAGCCCTCGAAGCAAAGGAGTGAAATATTTTATTTGAAAAGAAAAGAAATAGATGGAGAATAAAAATAAGTGAGAACTAAAACATCAAACTTAAGATGCAAGAGGTGATCTCTCGGTACTTAGTAAAGTGGGGTTTCATTTGAAAAACCAAAAACCATACATTTTATCGAAAGGGAAAGAGGAAGAAACTGAGGCCCGATTTTGTCGTCCCCTTTGTCCGTTTTGGCACTATGGTAGAAAAGCACTGAAATATAAACGGATTTAAATGAGCAACACAAAATAAAAGAAAAAAGCCATGGCATCAGCAATCGAGAAAAACTGCACTTGTTAACAAAGTGTTTATGCTGTCATGTCAAAAATGAATTCCGTCATTAACAGAGGAGTTAAAGTTGCTAACCAATAAAGATTAAAAGTCTCACATATTAAGAGCGAAATGATTTAGTTGCTGTACTGTATCATACGAACTTTATTTGTAAACTTGGTTTAGGTAACCAGAATTTACGTCGTTAGAATAGAAACGAGAGTTCTAACGAAGCCTAATCATGCGTTTGACAATAGTTCTTAATGACCGGCGGATGGAAAGACATAAGAAGCATGAAGATACGAAGTTGCTGGAGCTGTTCGGGTTTACAGAGGGAGTTACAGTTTTCTGAACATGTAAGAACAGTGAGCGATGTCAAAGAAAATTAAATACGGAATGGAGACTGGGAGTTGAACACTCGTCCTACCGCTTCCTGCTTAACTTCCGACAAGCAACTGCGCAACAGGCAGACAGACGCTGGCGCATTTCTTCGTTCATTTAGCTGCCGGTGCGTCACTGTTGAAGTGTTTGTTTTTCGACAAGACACGTCCAGCGGTCTGGAATATGCAAGAAAAATGGTTTGGTGTTTTGAAACATGACAAAGTTTGGTTTTAGAGGTGTATGGCAAGGAGCAATCCAATCGGTTCCTAATCCAGATGTAAATGGCTTGGTTCGATCGCATGCGAATGTGTTAAACTCTTGGAGCGATGACTGGAATTCGATGACTGGACGCTTCGTCGGTAACTGAATAAGGGCATTGAATATCTGTCAGTTGTTGTTACTTTGCTTTTCAAGTTATTCATGACATAACCGCTTAAAAGCTGAGTAATTTCACTTGATGCAGTCTGTTATGGTTGCTGGCCCGTTAAGCCAAATAGAATTGACTAAAACACATTTTAAAGTTCTGATCAGTTATTTGACCTGCGGCTAAGCTGCCCAAAATTCTTTGCAAGTTACGCTTCTTATAACGATCTCTGAAACTGTTTTTCCGCCACAGTGTCACTACATATTTTGAAATCGAAGTCCCTGAAAAATCTTAAAAAATGAGGGGTCAAACCAGAATGATTAGTAGCCGCTGTTTTCTAAAAAGACTGTGCAGCTTCATTGGATTTTTATCTTCCACTTGCAACAGTTCAAGTAGACAACTGGATAAACAAAACAGTTAACTTGCCAAAGTACAGTAGTATACACCAGTTCCTGCTCGTCATCTGTTATGGTTTGAGGGTGGCATAATTATTACACATAAATACTGTATTTTCTGGTTGTTGCAATCCGTTGAGCAGATTTCGAAATGCTGTGCAAGGGTCACTTGGGGAACAAATTTCAGTGGCCAATGGTGTTTCGTAAGTCAGTTAATGTTAATAATGCTAAAAATTTCATAATATCAACTAAGTATATAGTTTTTGCTTTAAGGTTAAAAGTGTCGATTTCTTTTATTTTTCTCTTTGTTTTTTGCTAAGCAGACTTTGTACCTCTTTAAAGACGAAGGAATTTGTTATTTTAGGTTTGAGTAAATAAATAATAATGGTTTTGTTCTGGATGGTTACTCATTTTAGCAGTTTAGAATCACTTTAAAACCAATCGCTTCAGCAGTGTTCTGAAGCAAAGTTTTTTCCTTCTTATCTTCTGTGATCGCTTATTCAGAAAATGGAACAGTAGTAGATTGCGCAGAAGAAATGTTTTCCAAATTATTTCCGAGTGACCGTCAAAAAAGAGGCCTAGATCTGTTGCATTTCAGATAGGTTTAGGAATAGGAGGTTGTAAAAATGGGACCAGTATTCTTAAAGTTACTGAGCGTTTAGCGACAAGTCGAGTGCCCACTTGAATTGCGGATGATCTTTTTCTCGGCTGAAGAACGAAAACCTGTATACTGGTGGTCTTAAGATCAAAAATATTATTTATTGTTTTATCACTCTAAATGGTTCCCAACTTGCTATACTAACTGTATGGGATTTGTACATAATGTTGTCATATCAGAACCCCTTTATCAGTTTGACGTTTCGGTGATATTGAAAACCTTTCTTAAAATATTTAGTACTCGTTTGTTTTAACTATTTTGAAGGCGTGAAATTTTTACTTAGAGGATTTGATATACCAGCGAACGAGAAGCGCGAATGATTTCGGCTTTGAAATAACAGAAATATAACTTGACTTCAAATGTTCAAACTGGGTAAAGAAATGCTGTTGTAATTTCAAACTTGATTAAAGTCGAAACGATTTTAAATATAATTGAAGATTTTACCTTGCAAAATAAGAGCGAAAAAATTACAAGTAACGACGTATAAATACTATGGAAGTGTGACGGCTCTTTCGCTCATTTATTTTGCCTATTATTAAATCTTCATCTCTGGGAGCTAAAAAAAGCCGGACACGGCGCATTGCTTACAGGTTGTTTCTGACCTGGTATCATCTAAGATCAACTGCCGAGCTTTTTTATCCATTTGTGCGAGAAGAGAAGGCAGTTGACTCTTTCCGGCGGAGAGCTGCGTGAGGAAATCGAAAGAAGAATTCCAGGAAAGGATGCACAATTGCTTGTTTAAAGTATGATGACACTTGTCTATTACGAGTCGAAGGCAGTATTTTAATATGGGCAGTAAGTCCTATGAATTCCGATACTGTAATTTTCAATGGTTACGAATTGGTTGAAGTATTGCAAAACGAGTTACTGTATCGTTGCCAAGCTGTTTTCAGTTAGCATTTTATTGTACTACATAGTCCCCAAGCAATAAAGATCTCAAAAAAGAAAAGTGGAAGACTTAGGAATAGGTTTCAGTACCAAACTTTTGTTGTACTGGAATAGTTAGTCCATGGGTAGGGCTTTAATTTCACAGCAGTTTCATAAGCGACGCTGAAAGGATGGAGCA